TACATATCTCAACTAGATTTATTATATAGTATAATAGGATAGCTATATAAGTTAAATTTAGTATAATCATTTATATATAATTATGTAATAGATGATATTTTTTCTAAAATAATAATTAATGAGATTTTTTTTATAATCATGATGATATATTTTATGTAATACAGTTATTTGATTATTTATTTATAAATTTAAATAAATTTAAAAAGTAGTAATGATTTTTTATCTGAAAAATAAAAATTATTAAATTTTATAAAATAATAATTATTAATTATTTAAATTACTGATTTTCTTTCTAAAAGTACTCATCTTACTATTCCTTGAATCTAAATTCCATAAATATAAATAAATTGCTTAAAATTGTAAATGGTCGATCCTTTAGTAGTTGTTTTAGTATACAATTTATAGGTATTAATTTTGATTCCACAATTTTCTTATTAATTCTTCGTGTGTCATTTTTCTTAAGATCTTCAATCTTTCAACTTTTCAATTCCAAAACAATTTAAATCTCTTAATTGATACAAAATTCTAATTATCTTCTTAATAATACTTAAAAATTCCTTCTTCTTCGTATAAGGGAGTATGGTTCCTAATCATCTTGCCTTTTATTATTATTTATCCAAAAATCACCTATTCTTCCCTTAAATTCTTTCAATGATATCAAAATACTCTTAATACGATTTTTATTTTAAGCTTTAATAATAAGTTTAGATTTTAAAAGATCTGACATATTTGCCAATCTTAATTATTTTTAGGATTTTATCTTTGGAAATGCTAAAATTTCACCTTTCGTGAATTAACTTTTTTTAGCATTACCTATCTAATATATAGAGGTGAAGTTTTTAAAATTTAAATCATTCTAAAAATCTTAAATATATTTAAATGTAATTTACTTGAGAGTAAAAGGTAGATTTGATGAATAAAGGCTGAATAATGGACTATTTGCTATAAATTTGTTAATCTGAAATTTTAGAATTTAAATTATTTATGAGGTTTTGCCAAGTTATATCATTCAGACAATATAATAATGGAAAGAAGTTTGGTTAAAGGAAAATATAAAAAAATAAGAAAAAATCTAAGAATTTTCATTAATATTAAAATGGTGAAGTGAGTAAAAAATTTGATGTAATTTAAGCTAGAATATACGAAGGGAAAATAATAGATTAACGTAGTTATTATATTTATAATCAATTAATTATTGGATGAGGAAATTATGATTGATTAAAACGGTATGAAAAATAATTTTTGGAAGGTTCATTAACATTAACACTTTTCTAAGTATAAAATTTAATCTATTTTTTAATCGAATTAGATTTATTTGTTAAAGTGAGTTCTAGTAGTGGTATACAAGGGCAGATGAGATTAATGTTAGACTACAAAATGATGTATATATTTTGATTTCTATGAAAAGAGATGGAGGAGATTACGGTATAAAATAATAAGGAAAGTGAATAGAAGTTGATTTTTGATATACTGAATATGATAATTATTAAGAAATAATACCTTTCAAATTTGAGAAAGAAATTGTTAATTAATTTTAAATTTCCTCTATTTAATTAAATGGATCAGGTGATTTTCATAAATCTTAAACCATCATAATTTCTTTTTCAGAAGATATTTTTTAACATTCATTATTTAAATAATCTAAAATTATAGGAAATTAAAATATATTTAAACCCACTACTAGTACAAATAATTTCATTTAAGTAATGATTAAGATTTTCAATTTAATACATTACTATTAAAGAATAAATAAAAAATTAACTCCATTTTAAAAGATTGAAGTAATTTATTATTAAACTTGGTTTTATTAAAATTTTTAATATGAATTCATTTTACTCTATGATTATATTATCAAAATAATAGCCAAAGCATATTTTTTTTAAGGCTAAATGAAGTTTTTAAATCAATAAATTAATTTTTAGTAAGTATGTAGGATAAATAGAGTTTAACAATTAAAAATAGCTCATTTCACCAATCAATTTCGTATAGGCAGAAGAATGATATAATTATAAGAATTTGTATGAAAATAGATATTGGAGGTCTAATCTTATAATTTATATTGAATAATAAAACTTAGTTTATAGATTTAAAAGGTTCAGAAACTCAACCTTTTAAAAAATAAATAATATCACAATACAGTCTGAGCTTTATATGTTGAATCATTAAGAGATATCAAATATCATTCGTGAATATATAAAGCTAAAAAGAAAAAAATGATGAAAGTTCCTTGTAGATTTATAAATATTTTCAAAATTATAAATCACTTATTGATTTAATTTAATTTGTCTTATATTTTGCAATTTCTTTAGAGATTAGACAATGATTAGTTTCAAAGTTAACCATTTCATCTGAGTTTTCCTCTGATTCTTCTTAAAAGTTTTCTTTAGAATTATTTACCTAGATAGATGTATCAAAATAATTTAATGACTTAAATCGCAAGGTCATTTAATAAACTGATATTTCTGATTGTTTTATCAATATTATGAATAAATTTTTGATATATTAATAATCTGGCATAATGTTATGCTTTAATGAATTTATTGAAGACATAATTTCCTAAAATTATGGAGGAAAATTTGAGGTTTATGCTAGATTATTGAAGCGAGATGATTTAATTTTGCCTATTACTTTAATATCTATTTTTTTACATCCCCAAGATGGTTTGAAAGACCATGGTAATTTAACTAAGAGTTAAAAATATATACATACGAGTTCTTAAATATATCAAAACGTAGATTAAACTTTCTAAATCATCTTTATATCCAAGCTATTCTCCTTTATGTGATTGTCTACTTGCAAAATTTAATGATCCTATAAACATATTTTTTAAGGAATTTGAATTCACACTATATTCTTGAGATAAACCAAAATCAATAATTTGAATAATATCATCTTACAAAATTTTCTAACCATCTAATGGTTTAGATATCATAATATTTTCTGGTTTAATATCAAGGTGTAAAATATTTCTTAAATGAACTTTTTCTAAAATTTCGGTGATCCTCAATCCGATTCTTAATATTTATGATAAAGATAATTATGGCTATTACTAAGCGATTAGATCTCTTAAACTACTATGATATAGAGGGATAATAAGAAAGGACCTAAATTATTAAATTTAATATTTACTTGTTATCTGAGGTAACTCCAAACTATTTTAGAGCTGGAATACCTATAATACCCTTTAATTTTCTCAGCATTTCTATTTCATTTCTGATTTAACCTAATCCTGCAGTTTTTTCTATTTTTATTGCACATTTATCTGAGTCTAAAATGTTTTCAGCTTTATAGATTAGATGTTCAGAGCTACATCTCAAATTTTCAAGAACAAGATATTAAGGAGCTTAGAGATACATCTTATTGTATTGTGATATAATATTAAATATTTTTAAGAATTATGTTCTTATTTAATAATTAAAAATTAACGGAGTTAGGATTCATCTTCTAAAAACATTCTTCAAACAAAAATGAAATTTAATTTCATTATCTAATTATATTCGAATTAATTTTATTTATTATTCATTTTAATTATGGTTATCTTAAAAATAAAATTGTCTTAACTCTCCAGTGTTTCTATTTACTATTTTTAAGTTAATTGAATTTATCAGATATAAATCTAATTATATTTTTTGCACTTCTTAGATTAAATTACAACTTCTAAAAAAAACGATGAATTATGTTTCAAATTTAAAAAATTTTTCTTCTTTGTACTCCATTATTCATAACTAAATTCACTTGATATTAAGAATTTAAATATAATTTATTTTAATATCTCAAACTGATTCAGAATTTACCTAAATATGACTGAATTTCTTATTAGTTTTATCTAAAATTTATCATTCATATTAATATTCTTCATTTCATATTTTATGTCTATATTTTGAAGTACTCGTAAAATACTTAAATGATCATTAAAAGAATTGGCTTAAAAAAACAAAAATTTAATTCTTTCTTTATTAAGTGAAAAATGAATTTGAAAATTAACATGAAAATACAAAATACTAGACCAAGAAACTCTAACTCATCTCTTAAGGTTTTCCTTTTTTTATTTATATTGAAAGATAAATCTTTGATAATGTTTATACACATTTTATTCTAACTTATATCAAAAGATAAATAAATTGACAATATATTGTTTTATAGGATAGAATATAATATTTGAGTATAAATAATAATAGGATTAGGAAATTAAGAATTTAATAATACTATAATAAATTATAAAAAAGAATTATAAAAAGAATACTGTTGAACTAGTTAATCTTTCTTTAACTGGATGGATTAAAAAAGAATTCGAAATTATAAAACTGTATGTCTAATTTTTAGATTTAAATATGCATAAAATTTGTTATTTTCTTTTTGTTATTGACTCATTCAGCGGATTAACTATGGTAAAAATTGCATTAATTTATAATAAATTTTAATAAACTATTTTAAGAATATATAGATATAAATGTAATTATACTTGTAGAATATAAATCAAACGAATTAATATAACAAAGTTGTAAAATATAGTAGGCGATAAAATATTTTGAGTTAATAAAGTTTCAAAAAATAAGATGATCATATCACTAAATTATATAAAATAATGATTAAATAATATACCAGATTTAAATAAAGAATTGTAGAAAGTTCAAATATTTTAAATCCTATAAATTATTAATTTTATTCTTTATATTCTTTAATGGACATCGTAATAGTATAATTTCTTTAACTTTAAATGAATCTCAAAATTAATTAACCTCTTATGGA